GGTCCTGGGATCGAGCCCCGCATTGGGCTCCCTGCTCGGCGGGAAGCCTGCTTCTCCCTCTCCGACTCCCCCTGCTTGTGTTCCCTCTCTCGCTGTGTCTCTCTCTGTCAAATAAATAAAATCTTAAAAAACATTTTTTTTTTAAAAGGATCTTTCAAACACATCGTATTGGTAGTGTGTGCGGGTAGAGTCTTTATTATCATGGACGGTATTGTAGGATGGCTATATTTATTAGGTTATTCTTCCTAGCATCTCAGAGAAGCAGCTGCCTCTCTGAACTTTCTCCCATTCGGTTCTAGTTTTGCCCTCGTGGAGCTAAACAAAAAAATTCCACACCCTCTCCCACCATTCCAAGACAGTCATCATGGTCCCTCTTCTGCAGCCCCCATCTGCCCTCTCACAGGATATGGGATTTTCCTTATTCCTCCCCAGGATGCTCTGTAGTTAGATGGCATTCCCCTTGAAGGGTCCTGACCACTCCACCCACCCCCGCACCCGCATCTGGATGATGTACTTCTCTACTCCTAGCAGGAGAGGAACCTGAGATATGTGACTGGGCCATACAGCAAGATAGTGTAAGAAGTAAGATTTGGTTAGAAGCATGCATTTAACTGTTTTCGGTTAGACATCCCTGCCCTTGGCCTCTTCTACCTGGTTATCAGGATCGGGGAACTGTAAGCCTCGGTGATGTGGGGGTAGCTTCAGGCGGGGCATCTCCCTCCTCGCTCCACATTGGGTTCTCTGAGCACAGCACTAGAAGCCCCATGCCCAGATACCAGTTGACACTCCCCTTCCTTAGATGTGGGTGGAAGGTCCTTCAAAATGTACTGAAAGGATTGCAAGCCATGTACCTATCTTCCAGGCTGAGTGGACCAGGCTCAGGGAGCTGAGGGTGCCTCTATCCCCATGTGGAATAACCCTCCTCCCTCATCCTCTGCTGTTTTATCTGTATGAGCCCTTTATAGACACCAGTGCTTACATTTCTTTGTTATTGAGGTAAAATTGACATATCATAAAGTTAACCAATGTATAGTGAACAATTCACTGGCATTCAGCGCATTCACAGTGTGTGCAACCATCACCTCAATCGACTATTGCTTATTACTCCAGTGCAATCCCTTTCTCACCGCAACATTATCCTCACCACAAAAGAAAACCCCATACCCATTAAGCCGTCGCTCCCCATTCTCCCTTCCCCTCTGCCTCTGGTGAGCACCCCTCTGTGTCCTGGCTGTATGGATTTACCTTTTGCATCTTGAATATAAATGGGATCATTCTATATGGGACCTTTTGTGTCTTGCTTCTCTCATTGAGCATAACCCTCTCGGGTTTCATCCACATCACAGCATATGTAGTACTTCATTATCTTCCACGGCCAAATAATATTTCACGGAACGTACATACTGCCGTATTGCTTATTTATTCCTCTCTTGATAGACATTTGGGCTGTTTCCACCTTCTTGCTGTTGCGAATGATGCTGCAATGAACATGTGTGCACATGTACTTGTTTGAGTCCTGGTTTTTAATTCTTTGGGACATATATCTAGAAGTAGAAATATGGGGTCATATGATAAGTCTATGTTTAATTTTTTAAGGAAGCTATACATTTCTTTTTTAAATAGCAACTCTACTCTGGAACTTTCCTGCATATGGAGAGACAGGGGAAGTAGGTGAGGAGTCAGGAGATCTGGGTTCTTTTCCTGGCCTTGCCGCTAACCAGCAAATTGAGCAAATCATTTCCCCTTTCTGGGCTCTTGTTTCCTCATTTGAAAAGTAAGGGGACTGCATAAAGCTAAATGATCTTTCAGTTCTCTTCGTCTTTTAAGATTTTATTGGAAAAATTGGGTTCCAGAGAGAAGAGAGAGAATTGCCAAACAGCTATCCATGATTATCTCTATATGCGTTCTCTACTGTGTTTTTAAATTGTGAGTTAAAAGCACCCCAAGTAATTGGGCTTTTTTTCCCCCTGCCTATGTGTTTCTAGTTAATGAATAGCTTCTGGCTTCTTATTTCCACCAAGATTCCCAGAACAAGATATCCTTCTCTTGCCCATCACTTCCTACAGCTTGGCAGCTCCTGAGCAAAACGTGGCAGTCATGACGCCAAGACTGGAGCCGTCCCATCCCCACTGTCCTCTCTGAAGGAATGCTGAGCCTCCTCCCCTGCTAGTTCGCTCATCACTAAGGTGTCAGCTGGATCACCTGAGTCTGGTCTTTGGAGATGTTGGATCCAAGGAGAGGAGTTAGCAGACTCTTCTTTAGTCCATGTAAAGACCATCTTAGAAGGTTGGGAGGAAGAACCAAGGACCTCCTGTGATACTGTCCAGCCAGGAGATTTTCCTCCTTGGGGGATTTCTACTCTCCTGAGCCTCTTCCAGCTGACTGATTCCCTGGCCCGAGTGCAGTGCCTCGGTAGGGAGGGAGTTTTTCCTCCACTAATCGATAGCCTCCACAGTATGCCATCCAGGTCCAAAGCATGTGTTCTCCTGAGCTGCCTGCTGGCTTTCTGGGGGAAGCATGAGGTTTTAAAAAAAACCTGTGATCCAAGTGGTTTATTTCATTCGGCCAGCCATTTATTTGCTCATTTTTCATCCATCCATCTGATACTTTTGAGTGCCTGCTGTGTTTTCAGCACCACGTTAGATTTTAGGAATAAACAAGATGAGGCACCTTCCCTATGGTGCCTTCCTTTTTTAATAGGGCATACAGATGAGTGGCTTTTGGAATGAATACCATGAATACAAAGTGACAAATGCTGGGGCGCCTGGGTG